TTGTGATCCCCAGGTTGTGCCAGTCAGCTTTCGTATGATATTGTTTCTGGCACCCACTTTTTGCTTGATATTTAGGCAGTGCTTCTTGTAGGTAAGAGCACGGTCCAGAGCAATCTCTGTAAAGTGGAGTAAGACCTCTTTGAGAATTGTCTTGGTTTAAGGGAAGCAAACAAATAGCCCAAAGAAAGCAGCAGTGATCTCGCTGAATGAAGCCTGGAGCGCCATTGCTGTGAGAGTCTGATGTTGGTTAGTAAATCCTATGTACTGTGCCAAAGTGGGAATATTTGTGTGAGAAGGAGGATGGTGGTTGTGGGTTTCTGCCCTCCTTGAAGCTGTTGCTGCTAGGGGTCTTTTGCTTAGGGTGGTATTTTGCTGTTTTCCAAGTACACATAATAATAATAATAATCATCATCATCATCTATATCAGTGTTTCTCAACCTGGGGGTCGGGACCCCTGAGGGGGTCATGAAGGAGTGTCAGAGGGGTCGCCAAAGACCATCAGAAAACACAGTATTTTCTGTTGGGCATTGGGGTTCTGTGTGAGAAGTTTGACCCAATTCTATCATTTGTGGGGTTCAGAATGCTCTTTGATTGTAGGTGAACGCCAAATCCCAGCAACTACAACTCCCAAAAGTCAAGGACTATTTTCCCCAAACTCCACCTGCGTTCACATTTGGGCATATTAAGTATTTGTGCCAAGTTTGGTTCAGATCTGTCATTGTTTGAGTCCAGAGTGCTCTCTGGATGTAGGTGAACTACAACTCCCAAACTCAAGGTCAATGCCCACCAAACCCTTCCAGTATTTTTCTGTTGGTCATGGGAGTTCTGGGTGCCAAGTTTGGTTCAATTCCATCGCTGGTGGAGTTCAGAATGCTCTTTGATTGCAGTTTAACTATAAATCCCAGCAACTATAACTCCCAAATGACAAAATCAATCCCCTCCATCAGTCCCACCCGTATTCAAATTTGGACGTATCGGGTATTTATGCCAAATTTTGTCCGGTGAATGAAAATACATCCTGTATATCAGATATTTACATTATGATTAATAACAGTAGCAAACTTACAGTTATGAAGTAGCAATGAAAATAATTTTATGGTTGGGGGTCATCACAACATGAGGAACTGCATTAAGGGGTCGCAACATTAAGAAGGTTGAGAACCACTGATCTATATAAATAAAAATGTTTGTGGGATTAACAGAACTCAAAAACCACTGGGGGAATTGGCATCGAATTTGGACACAAGACACCTAACAACCCAATGTATGTCCTTCACTCACAAAAAAAAATATTTGATTCTGTCATTTGGAACTTGTAGTTGCTGGGATTTATAGTTCACCTACAATCAAAGAGCATCCTGAACCCCACCAACGATGGAATTGAACCAAACTTGGCACACAGTTCCCCCATGACCAACAGAAAATACTGGAAGGGTTTGGTGGGCAGTGTCCTTTGGTTTTGGAGTTGTAGTTCACCTACATCCAGAGATCACTGTGGACTCAAACAATGATCGATCTAGATCAAACTCTACACGAATACTCAATATGCCCAAATGTGAACACTGGTGGAGTTTGGGGAAAATAGAATCTTGACATTTGGGAGTTGTAGTTGCTGGGATTTATAGTTCACCTACAATCACAGAGCATTCTGAACCCCACCAATGATAGAATTGGGCCAAACCTCCCACACAGAACCCCCATGTGGGCCACAGCAATGCGTGGCAGGGGACGGCTAATAATAATAATAATAATAATAATAATAATAATAACAATAATACTTTATTTATATTCCCCTCCATCTCCACGAGGGGACTCAGAGTGGTTCCCAGGTAACATCACAAAACATACAAAGTAAAAAACAACATAACCATAAGATTAACAAAACAAAATATAAACATAAAAATTGTCACCATAACACACATGTTAAAAGAATTCTGCCTGTTCAAGGCAATTTAAAAATTTAAAAAGGCTGGGCCAAGATTTGTGCAAGCCCAAAAATTCTAGGGGGCTCGGGAATTAAGTGCAATGCTATGGCAGGCAACAATAATACTAAGTATGGGCCTGTGGCTGTTCATTCCGGGACTGATTAGAGGAAATGATCTGGGTAATTGGAAGGAAGAATAAGGCCGTATTCG